AAATGATGAATTTGGTGTTCATGGATTGAGGAAATGTTGGTTTAGTGCTTGACTCTAACAAAGATTTCCTGTATGGTTCCGGAAATTCACTTAATCTTACTGTGCTTCAGTTTACAATATGTGAATGAAAAGTTTATAAGCTTACTTCCTTGCATCCACTCTTTGTACAATTTTATCTATTAAAAATACCAAAGAGTGTTAAGAATCTGTATTGTGTGTGTGTGTGCGTGTGTAGATAGATAGACAGCAACTACTAGTCCTGATCTCTATGGCATTACTGTACTCTAAAAGTAATGAATTGTTATTCAAGAAAACTAAATGATTAAATAAGTTCATATGACATAAGAAAGATATTTTATACATAAGATAATTGTACCTACTAATGAATTGAATAACATGCCCCATTTAAAATGTTTAGATTGAGTGAAGGTACAGTATGTAAAAATACAGTACAATATACCCCAAATAGATCACAGTTCTTGCTAATTCTGGTCAATTTAACTGCAGCTTCTGAAGTAAGCCCAGGCACAAGGACCTTACAGCTAAGCTTTCATAAGTCTTCAGTGGTAGATCTTTCCACATAGTGAAGCAAGAATGGAAACACTTCTTACCTACCCCTAATGTCTGAACTTTCTGTATAGATGGTGTTATTAAAAGATTGTTTTTGGTTAAACTATGTGATTAACACTCTGAACGTACCAACTGGAAGTGATAGCTGTTCAAGTATATCTAGGGTAGCAGTCAAGCAATCCAGTTATACCTGCTAATTCCCAAATGAGTTCATTCTCAAAAATTTGTATATGCAGCTTGTTGAGTTGATTTTGAATAGATTTAGATGGGATTATATTTTATCTGGATTAATCCACATAATCCTGCTGTGATTAAAATTCCTTCATTATACTGCAAATATAATTTATTTCAAGCAGATACAATACCAAGGTCCAAGTTATATATGTTCGCTTGACTATTATTTCTGTGATGTGTTGAAAGAGGTAGTATCCGCAATTAATGTGACATAAAGGAACATACACCCAGAGTTGAACAAATATGACTTAGTTACATACAGCTTTTCATTCAAAATCTTTTTACCTTTTTACTATATATGCATAATGTGTGTTCATATCCATTCATCTGATCTGAATATAACTGAGTTTACTGATGTCCTTCAAACTTACATATATGATGTATACATGGTTAATGAATCAGGATTTGAAACACTTAAGTTTGATATCGCCAATGGAATTTAGGCCATGAGTACCTAAACCAAAAGGTCAGAGCATGAGCACCAAAAGCAATGGATGCCCTGTCATGTGTACTTAGGGCAGATAGCCATGGCCAATGGAATCTATTAACAGGATGCCATGGATATCTGAAACAGAAGCCTGGCATAGAAAGCATGAACAGAGTATAGGAAAGAACAGTCGGTCATATGCACCTGGGCCTGGAGCCATTGGCCTATCTGCATATATTTCAGTCACAATATTTTAAAAACAGGCATGAGCCATCGGTGTTGTTTACATTTTCATTGGAGTGAGGGAGAATTGTAGACCTCCCAGTTCAGCACAGTAATAATGCCAATGTCACATCAGATAAAGATAGGAGGCAGGTATGTACAAGGGAAACAATCGCTTTACATCACTCCAAAGGGGTCAGCTCTTACATTCGTTTTATGGAACCCAATCCACAAAGCATTTGTACTTGATTATATTTTCTCTGTTGGTGATAGCAAAGACAGAGAAAGAGAGAGAGAGAGAGAGAGAGAGAGAGAGAGAGCAGTCACTGTCAGAAATACCTATCTGTTTCAGGCCAAAGTCCAAATAGTGGAGATAGAAGAAGAAATGGCTTAGTTTCTCTGCCAGAGGCTGAACTTGCTTAGAATAGTGCAGAGTTCCAGAGTTATCTAAGCAAATAACCAGTAGGGAAAATCATGTTTATTTAAACACAGTATTGGATTGGTCTAGTGTAAAATAAGAGTGGGTGCACATGATGGTTAAATAGTCTCCTGCACCAACTCAGGACCTGTGAAGCTGCAAATTATTCTGTTAATTTGTTTTATGTATTCAAATTAATAAAAGTATGAACTCAGGGAAACTATCTGATTATTTCAGCAGACCTGGGGATGCTTAGAATAAAGGAGACATAATACCATCACTTCCTCCTCTTCGTACTGTTTTCAAGAATTCAACTTGAAACTTCCTCCTTATAAAATTGTGTAAGCCTCCTGGCTTTAATTTACCAGGCTAGTGTATAAGAAGGAGGCATTCCTTGAGCTATTCTGGCCCAAGCTACTCAGTTCTTTAGAAATTAGTACTAAGATCTTAAATTAGGCCTGGGAAAAAAAGGGAGAAAGCCAATGCAGTTGGCAGAGCACTGACTTAATATCATCATATGGATGAGACCAGCTCCAGTTAATAATATTACAACTCTGTTTTAGACTATCTGAAGTTTCCAAAACTTCCAAAATAGCCCCACATATAACACATGGCAGAAATCCAGCCAAGAGGTTACTAGAGCACATAGAACTGATGTCAGGCTATCCTTGCTCAGAAAGTTTCACAATTAGCCTAGGTATCCAAATTTTCTGGTTTGGACCTGCCGGCTTTTTGAAAGTGAGCTTTGATATGACACACAGAGAGTTACCCTTCTCAAATAGGGGGGAAAATGCTTATCCCTGACCTGATCTTTTATGATTTTATTAATTGTTGAGCAGTTACTGCCAAGCTTTGCAAGATCTGTGAAATAGTTGGGAACAGCTCAACTTTAAAATGTGACTGTGCTTTATTTAATATTTTGCTCAAGCAATTTTTTTTCAGAATCTTTAGACTAAAATAAATACTGATTCAACAGTACAAGCCAGTTCCAGTTATGGTCATAATATGAGAAAAGTTTGAATTAGTGTTCTATTCGTGATACTTTTTACTTGTGGCATATTGAATTCATAGTTTGTTTTGATGTTGTTTTTTGATGCTGTATAAATTCAAAAGGTGTTACAATGAAGATTGCCCTCTGTTGCAGTGCATTCTATAATGTGCCTACAAGAAGGTCCCAAATGTAGTTCCTCATAGCATTTCATATAGCAAAGTTGGGGGGGGGGGGTGGGGAGAACCGCCCAGAGTTGCTCTTGAGTGAGATGGGCGGTGACTAAATTCGAAATATAAAAAAGTAAATAAAATAAAGTTAGAGATGAGCAATACTTGCACGATAGTTAGGTTTGTCTGGCAGTCACCATAAGTTGTATTTCATGGGAAAAAGCATTTGAGAAGCAAGCTATGCATGTCTAATCTCATCTGGATCTTTTAAAATACCATCTTCATTAGACCATCTCATTTTTTATGTAAGATTCAGAATTATAAATTACTTGAGGTGTGAAGAGCCTTGAATCACCCCGCTATCCTCACACAGTGACTAAAGGAGTGATGGCAATCTCAAAAAAAAAAAGTTCATGACAGTTATTGTTTAGCATAACATACTGACAATTGAGAAAAATGCACTCTTGGAAGAATGCATCCTATATAATATGCTGATGATACAAAAGTTGGGATTTAAATTACACTTAGCCTGTGCTCTTTGGCATTCTAATAATCTTAATTTACTGGAAATACATTTTTATTTTATATACTATAACCTTATATCACTGAAGTATTTACATGTCATGTTTTTATGATTTCCTGTTAATTATGTGATATATTCTGCCTTATATCTTACATTGTTAACACATGTGACAGTAGGAGCTTAGGTATATACACTGGCAGGTTATCATTGTTTAAAATGTCACAAGTCTTTGAAATGGGCAGAATTGACTCATTCCAATCCTTTCCCATACCTGTCTAAATCAGCTATTTTCATAAACCTGAACTCCACAAATGCAGTTATCTGGGGATCTTTGAACAATTTCAGACCAAATCCCTTTATCTTGATCAATAATCAGATCAAAACAATTTCTTCTTTATGGAGATACTTTATTTTAAGACCTCAAGTAATGCAGTTTTGATTTAATAACACATTTTGTGCAAGTGCTGTAAAGTGACCGACGACAACGCCAATATACTCTGTTGCACAAGGAATTAAAGTACTGTATAATATTACAATGGGCTTTTTGGCACATATTTTGAAATGAAGCTGACATAGAGTTTCCAAGTAATCTTACTGTACATCTAGGAACTAATTGTCTGAGGCTGCAGTTTTCAAAACAAATATGGGTAGAATTATGCTATAAAATATGTTTATTTAGCTTTAATGGTACTGTCTATTCTCAGGCCTTTTTCTTGGCCAAACCTCTTATCTATACATTTTTAAAAATCTGCTTTCTGTGATCCAGCAAAACAATAAGTACACTGATTTCCACACATATGCCAAGTGTGCTTTTAAAAAAACACGTGTCCATCACCACAGGGCAGACTATAGAGTGTCCTTCACTGGACTGGAAAGACTTTAACAATTGGATGGACCTTGACTAAGTTTTAGGACATTTTCTTCTCTGAAAGGTTATCAGAATCATTAAATTGCCAGTACTGGCAACCTGGTTGTCTGTGAAAACTCTGTTGTGACTGTAACATTATTTATACAGTAAGTCTGTGTAGGTAAGCTAGTATGCAGCATACTCCGTGTGGGTCTCTGTTTTGTTCTGCTTATATGCTACTGTTATTTGTTTGTGTATTGAGGACAATGAATTTGTAATGGCTGTTTGCGAAACAATTAATTAGACATTCAATTCATTCAGCTGCTACTGCAGTCTAAAGAGTCTGGCAGCATCTATATTGTGACACAGAATCTTTTCTACAGTGCTGATTAACTGAGCCAATGCCAAGAAGGAACCTGGGCAAAGCATACAAGTGTTCAGAGTAGAGCCGGGGAGCGTAAGGGAGAGAAGGCAGGGGACGTCCTTGCAAAAGAGCGGAAGACAAAAGACAGGGGCAGATGCAGACAGGACCTGGACATGTTCCAGCTGGAGAGGAGAGGCCGTGAACAGCTCTAAGCTAAGCTGTTCCTCTTTTCTTTAGACCCTGACGGTTTGTTTCATGGGGTGGAGTTTCTCCCAGAAGACTTCAGAGATGCTTCTAATGAAACAACAGTGAGGATGAATGAGAAATACTCCACACTACCTGCTGAGGAGAAGGGAATCCACATCATCAACATCAGAGCTATTGAAGACATCGGCTATGTTCGCACAGAAAGTACGGTGAGTAGAAGAGCCTCTTTCTCACCTGGTCTGTGGGTTCAGGGGGCATCTAGGTACTGCAGCTTAAATTCCCTTGTGCCTTACAATCTTGTGGCTGAAGTTGTACAGCCCACAATACCTTCTTCCTTTCAAATGTAGGGCTGTTTCAAGTATTAGTCACTAAAAACATGGCATAGCTTTTCAGTGCTTTATGAAAATAAGAATGAGAAGCTTCCATTTGGAACAGCATCATTCTGAAGAACCTTATGGGAAAGAAGATATACACCTAGGCATGCATGTGTGTGTGTGTGTGTGTGTGTGTGTACTTTCCCATACAATTGTTCAATGTATGGGGAAAATGTGTGTATGTATACACACACACACACACAAACACACAAAAATGTATGTAAGTATTTTGCATCTAATTACATTACAGAAATAATGAGTTTCTGAGTTTTTTCACTGATCTCAGTTGTACCTTTTAGTTGCCTACATTGTAAAACTTTTCAAAGTAAAATTAATCTTATTTATTTTTATATTTCCATCAATGCAATCCTTAAAAAAATATGTGACTATCAGGATTAAACTGTTAGTGGTATTAACATGCACACATGCAAAGTCAAGTCTAATTTGAATTTTTAAATTATGCTCTGTGCCTTTAAAAAAATGGAGATATTAGAGGATATAGCTTTCGTTGGCATATATATTTTGTGATGGTAATGGTGGTAGAGTTTAACCTGTTAACTTCTGCCTATTTTGCAACCTCTGACCAGAAACAAAGTGACAATCTTAACATAATAGTAGGCCAATTTTGTATGTATATTCAATTTTCAAAGCTCATTGTTTCAACTGTTTTTTAAAAATCAAATCGATAGAATATTTTAACATCTCAATTACAGATTTATTTCCTATGGCAAAAGCTTTCAAGGACTAGCAATTAAAGTATTGGAGCAAGACCAGAAAGACCCAGGCACAGCCACTGAAATTCAGGGGATGATTTTGAAATGCACAGGATTGTTGTTGTGGGAAGAAGCTGGAGGAGGGAGTGCAATGAAGTCCTGAAAAAAATGGAGATATAAATCTAACAAATACAAATAAAAGAAATGAAGTTAGTAGGCATAGAACCCATATTTGTAGAGCAGACAAAGATATAACAATGAGATCAAACAGCAATGCTGAAAAGTACAGCCTTTGACAATCATTTTAAAAGTTAAATGTTTGTGAATAAATTACAGAAACTCTTCCAAAAGCCTCGCTAATTATAGGACAAGATCTTGCGATTGGGTAAACTAACAAAGTTAAGAATAAAAAAGACAAAGTTAAGAAAATTGGAACACAGTATTTTGTGTTTCTCGATAGAGTACTATAAATAGGACATTCTTACCCTACTAAGAGAGATTTGGCCTTACAATTTCACAGAAGTTGAATTGCCTTTCAGAAATGGTGGAGCTAAAATATTTTTACCCTTTCAATTCATGATTACTTGTTGGTTATTGAATTTTGCAGGAATAACTACTAACTAATAGCATATTCATTCAGGCTTTATATGTTCTTTTTAAGGCCAAAGGTTTTTTTAAAATCAGATTGTTATAAAATTTAACTCTGGGTTTCCCAGTGAAAATCTGAAATCAGCATAACAGAAGTGTAATGACATGGAAATAATACTTTTAGAGGCTTATGTTGCAATTAGGTATACTTTCATGCATCTCTCCCACAATGGAAACATTAATGAGAAAAGAATGTATTCCTCTGTCTATGTGATTTGGTCAGAATGGGAGGTATATGTCAGCATTGGAATTATGGTGCCATGGTAATTCGTAACTGTAATAGTATGGGAAGAAGTTCTTTGAAAGGCTTGCATTAGGGATTCATTCATTCATTTATATCAACTCTTAATGTTGGAAGTCCAAATTATAGTTTGGTACACTAGTTAGAGGCATAAGAAGTTAATGAAAAATTGATGAAAAGGCTCCATTTGTGAGTGGGGTCCAGTGATTGGTTAAATTCAATATTTCTATACCACTAAAAATTAGCTATATTCCTGTGAAGCATTGGAAAAGGCTGGGATCAGTACTGTCCTTACTAGCAATGGATCCTCTGGGGAGTTGCAAAAAGAAATATGGCTGAGAAGTAACCCCTTTGCAATTAATAGAATATTGTGCCCTCATTTAATTTCTTACAAACTGCAAACCCATTTCTGAAATATATTTGATCCAGCGCTTTCAAAGAGAATTAGAGTACTTGAAACAATCATGCCTTTCCACTGGAAAATGTTGTGGGTACAGGCAGGAGAAATCTGCCTGGGTTTCCTACTGTAATAAATAAATGAATAAACATGACATGAAATCAATTCAAATACTTGTAACAAGAAACTAATTAGACATTTTCAGTGATAATGAACAGAAAAGTAAATTGTGTGTGTACGTGTGTATAGTGTGTGTGTGTGTGTGTATATACAATATATATGCACACGCACACATGAGAGTGATAGACACATACACACACACACACACACACACACACACACACCCTGAACAGAAAGGTTGAAATAGGATTCTTTAAAAACTGCACTATATGTCCCTTACAATAAAGCGACTGCATGTAGTACTGTATATGCTATAAAAACAGAAAAAAGAAAAATATAGCAGAGAAACAGTATTGGAATCTATAATAGATTTAATAATAAATATTTAAGTTGGTCCACAAGCGGTCTTCATTCTTCTATAGTGGCCCAGCCCAGTTTTAAAAACCCAACTAATTCTACTTCTCCACATTTTGAAGACATTTAATCACTTTAGCTAAGACTTGTATACTAAAATCTATTAAAAGTTCTTAAACAAAAACACTTCACAGACCAAAAAAGTCATGGCATCTTTGTCAAAAAATACAAAAAAGATGGATTAAACATTTTTCCCTTAAAAAGGAAGCATCTGGTTTTTATGCTTCAGTCCAATTTATAGAAAGTGGTCTCTGGAGAAAGACCACACATGCAAACTTGGAAGCATTGATGATTTTCTTTCTTCTTACAGTCCAATAAAGTAATGATTTGAAATAGTTTGTTTAATTAAGGCTAAGTAGGTTTATAAGTGGAGTTCCTGATCTGAAACATCAACATTAGTTTTCACTGCCCAAAGTAACTCAGTCTATTTAATCATCTAGTGATTCTAAGGTATCAGATTTTCCTAATCTAGCCAGCTGCAAAAGTCTCTGCAGGTTGCATCTATTTATGTAGTACTCGATACTTTTTGCTGGCTGTCTTCTGTTTAGAAGTTCTATCCAGTGACCTACATTTTAGTGGGAGTTTGAGGGGGATAAAGTAACAATCCTAAGTGTTAGTAAACAGCAGAAATTGAATTCTAAGTGTATTTGAAGTGGTGCTTTACATCTGGACCTACCGGTTCTGCTATGGGGTTTGCAGTTGACTTAATGCTATGTTCATAGCAGGACCATCTGCATCGTTTTGTGAAATAGTGCAAATAGTTCAAGAATCTGATATATCTGCTTCTGTATTTCTTAGCAGGTTACACCTGCTAAGAAATACAGAAGCAGATATATCAGAT